TCAAGACCTTCCTGCACACCCTGCCTCGCCCAAGTGCCTCCTCCTTCCCCTCATTAACCCCTGGCTGCATGCCCTCTGCAATGCCTTTCTCCTCCCTCACTAGAGATCTGTTGCTATAATCCAGCTTTGCTGGAAGCTCAGTTGTTGTTTACCTCATGTTGTACTTGCAGCTTCAGGATTTCTGTCCTTTTTATACCTGTTTCTGTACAGACCCAGACCTTGTTTAGAAAGTAGGAAACATCAGGAGTGTTTCAGCACAGGAGTTGCTATTGCTTCTGCCATTTACCTGGGAAACATTTCCCAAAAGGCAGGGCACTGAACTGCAGCTCTGTGCCAGAAGAGCAGCATGCTGGCTGCATTGCTGTAACATCCCAGGAAAAATGACACTCAAGAAAGATGATGTAAATGTGACTCTCAGTTGTTTGTCAGTCCATGCTGCGTGTGTAAACACACATTCCCACTGTCTCCCGGGGTCTGGTACAGAATGTGACAGCTTCAGGCTGAGATGGCATTAATAGCTGTGCCTTCACGACTGTGGGAACAGGCTCTATGCCACTCGATGCAGATGAACTGATAATGGTCCTGGGGTGCCTTTTAACCACTTCGTCACTCAAGACACCAGTCCAAAGCCCAATCCCTGCTCGGCTCCCCAGCAGTGGTTGCTTTGGAGAGGCTACAGCTTAGGGTTAGAAAATTGCCAAGATGTGGGGAGCCTGTAAGCATTGCAGCAACTCCCCTAAATCCCACCCGTTTAGTGGAAGGTGTCCCTGCTGATGGCAGGGGGTTTGGAACTAGACCAACTTTAACCCAGACCATTCTACGATTCTGTGATTCTATGAAACTGTCACCGATCTCAGACTGGATATCAGGAAAAATTTCTTCACTGGAAGGGTTCTCAGGCACTGGAGCAGGCTGCCCAGGGAGGTGGCTGAGTCACCATTCCTGGAGGGATTTAAAAGATGGGTTGATGAGGTGCTCAGAAATATGGTTTAGTAGTGGACAGGTATGGTTGGACTCAATGATCTCAAATGTCTTTTCCAACCAAACCATTCTATGATTCTATGATTTTATGTAGAGCTGGGAGCTGTGCCTCTGGTTCTGTGTTGGGCTCCTTATTTAGCAAGCTGTGAGCTCTGCTCTCCAAATACCCCCAGTTTTTGGAGCAAGCCAGAGGCCAGCAAAATGAGTATAGAAAGGGGAGAACTGCAGGACTGCAGGTGAGAGCTGTCCCACGGTGTAGGTAGCGTGTGATGTGGCATCAGCAGTCCAACCTCACCAGGTCCCGTGGCCATTGCCTTTCACATAAGCATATCACTGTGTCTTCTGGTCTGCCTAGCAGCAAGAGCTTGGCTTTTCCAATTTCTCCGATGTCCCTTACAGCTTGACTTGGCTGTGTTGAGGCTACCAAGAGGGAACCCAGCCTCAGGGAGAGTTACCTGTCAGGAGAACAGGGGTCAGACTGGACTGTCCATCCTGCTTGCACTGCCTCTTGTAGGGTCACAGACACCCCTATGGAAAAGCCAGCCTGGTTTGGTGGCTGTGTCAGTAGTACCGACCTGCCTCCCCTGTAGATCTCCATGTAGAGAACCAAGAGCAGCAAGTGCCTCAGTTTACATCCCAAGGCAGACCTTCACTATCTCTTCTCTTTAGTGCTGAACCCAGGTCTCGTCCTCCGCTTTCTCATGCCTCTGGGAATGGCTGAGGTGGAAGCAGCACGCAGAGGAGGGTGGTGGAGCAGAGCTGCAGTCTCTACAAATGGTCCTCTTGCAGTGTTGCAGCATGATGAGGGTGGTGTGACATTGGTGTGCCTGTGCACTGTCTCCCAAGAGCAAATGCTTCTCTTGCTTTTCCTGTGGATCTGCTAAAGCTGAATCCTGCTGCACAGGATTCAGTGGTCACAGTTTGCACTCCACTGCCCCAACAATGACTTATAGGCCAATATTAATTGTAATCTAGCTTTAATAGTCCTGTGCAAACATGACTCTCCATGTTCTTTCTCAAACTTTGCTGTGTCTACTTCCTGCCCTTGATTGTGCAACTTGCTGAGGTCAGAAAGACCCTCACACAAATAGGTTTTCTTTTCCTCGACGCCAGCCATCAGCTGCTCTGTTTGCATCTGTCTGTCTGACTCTCTGCCTCACCTTTTATACAGTGACTCCAGGGATGAAGATTTATATCGATCCGTTCACCTACGAAGATCCCAATGAGGCTGTCAGGGAATTTGCAAAAGAAATTGATATCTCTTGCGTCAAAATCGAGCAGGTGATTGGGGCAGGTAGGTGAATTGTGAATGTCTGGCTGGCCCTCAGCAGCACAGTCTCCTTTGTGGTTTCAGGCTTTCACGAGGATTTAGCCTTACATCTACTGGGAAGACTATTGTCAGTAAGGTCTTACTCTTAGCCCCAGCCTAGACTAGTAGGAACAAAGTGATCCAGTCCTGGAGGAGCAAGTACATCTAGTGCTGGAGACAAGGAATTCCCATGTGTATATAGTGTCCGGTGCTCCTCACCAATGATGAGTCCACCTGCAGAGAGCTCTTTGTTGTGGAGTGAGGCTGGAAACACAGAGCAGATGGTGGGTGGCTGGCTCAGAGGCATGCAGGGCGGGCATGGCTGGAGCCCGTGGGAGCAGGATCCCTTGGGAAGAAAGGCAGAGGTCTAGGAGGCTGACAAGCCCTACCTGTTTCCCTCTGTTCACAGGGGAGTTCGGTGAGGTGTGCAGCGGGCATCTCAAGCTTCCTGGCAAAAGAGAGATCTTTGTGGCCATCAAGACCCTGAAGTCTGGTTACACAGAGAAGCAGAGACGGGACTTCTTGAGCGAAGCCAGCATCATGGGGCAGTTTGATCATCCCAACGTCATCCACCTGGAGGGGGTGGTGACCAAGAGTTCACCAGTCATGATCATTACTGAGTTCATGGAGAATGGCTCACTGGACTCCTTCTTGCGGGTATGAGATCCCAGGAGCACACAGCCCCAGACATTGTGTTGGGCCCTTCCCTGTGCCAGGATAACAGTGCCCTTCACTGCCCAGCATAACAGTGCCCTTCACTGCCCAGCATCCCCTGCCACTGGGACTGCTGCTTCTGCCAGAGGTCTGTGTCTCAGGAACAGAGGTGGAGGTAGCACCAAGGCTGTCATCTGTTATGTGTGTCTGTCCACTTAGACTAGTTGAAGGCTGTGCCTACCTACATGCATGCCCACAGATGTATTTACAAACTCTGCCTCTGTGGGCATGGAGGGACAATCTGCCTGAGCTTTAACACAGCTGTGTCTAAATAGTTACAGGTCTGAGTTTGAAATGGATAATTCACTGGGTTGAACGGACATAACCTGCTTGATAAGAATAGAATGTCCCTTCTGAACCCTCCTGTGCAAGGTGTGGCCAACCTGCCACCTTTGGATGACAGCAGCCATTGGTAGTGCTGCCCATGGGGTGTGTGAGGGTGACTTCCAGCCCCTTTTAGCTCTCCACTCTTGTTTTGAGAGGGAACTTACATATTTGTGGCATAGCTGTGTCTTGACATGCAGTGTAGACAGACTGTTTACCAGACCATGGCGGGCTGTGAATTTGCTCCTCTCATTTTTCTTTCCCTCTCTTCCCCTCAGCAAAACGATGGGCAGTTCACAGTGATCCAGCTGGTGGGCATGTTGCGGGGCATCGCAGCAGGCATGAAGTACCTGGCTGATATGAACTATGTGCACCGGGACCTGGCTGCCCGCAACATACTGGTGAACAGCAACCTGGTCTGCAAAGTGTCTGACTTCGGGCTCTCCCGTTTTCTGGAGGACGACACCTCTGATCCCACCTACACCAGTGCACTGGTAAAGCTGCTTTTCCAGAGGGGAAGGGATGCATGGTGAAGGAAGGAGTCAGGGTGAGAGAGAGAAAGGGGGAGATCCACCCCTTGACATAAGAAGTGATTTTTCAGGGTGCTAACGATGGAAATAAGGTGCCACGTGGGAAGGACCAGTGAAACGAACCAAGGAAGATTTGCTCTCGCAAGGTCCTGACCGGTTGTCCAGTGGCTGTTAATGGGCCCTATATTCATTCCTGTGGATAACTGAGCCTCCTCCAAACACCTCTGCAAAAATATGCATGTTCCTGATAAAGCTCTTAGTTGGGGTGATGCATTATATCCATCCAGCATGGACCAGCTGGGGGTTCTCCACGGTGCTGCTCTGACAGATATGTTGCCAGAGCAGCAGGTCTGGAGCTTTTTTACCATCACTGTCCAACCATGCTGCCTCGCTGTCCAGGAGACCGTGATCCTTTTTAATGTCATGTCATGGGCTCAGCCCCAGGAATGACAGACCGCAGTGTGGATGCGTGCTAGATGAAGCCCTGCAGTTCTGTATACTGATTTTCCAGAGAGTCTTTCTGAATTAGACAGAGAAACATTCCCAGAAATGTCTTCATGGTCACGTAACAGCTTCCCAGGAACGTCACAGTGCTAATGACACAATTGTGTCTGAGGAATCATGGCCTGTCTCAGGCCACAAAATGTGCACAGGGACCAAAGGGTAATTTGGAGACAACGTTGTTGTTCCGAAAGATTGCAGACAGTTCTCGTAAATGCTATTTTTTGCAAAGGCATACAACATCACTCTACAGTGGTGCTGCAGAATCAATGCCTACGTACAGTGCTTCTGACAGGACTTCTTGGAAATAAGTGCTGGTAGAGCTGGGGCATGATCTGTAGGCAATCACCTCTCCCAGATTTTGTGAAGCTGACAGTGATGAAATGTCTGGCATAGCTCTTAGTGAATTGTAACAGTAGTTGAATACCTAACAAACACCTAAAAATGTGCACTTTTCTGCTCATCTGAACTTGTATAGCTTCAAACATGAAGTATTCAGTCTTATATAGTCATTCTATGGCTTTTAGAAACACTAGCAACATTTGTTTTTCACAACATGTTCTTTACATCCAATTACCTTTCCCTTTGTTAAGCTTAATACATGGGAGCTGCTGGTGTTCACTACTGTTTTCTATTCCTGTTACCGTCCTGTAGCTTTTCTCTCTATCATCTCTAATTTATTCTCTGAAACTGTGGGCACTGTAGCAGGACGTATATTATCTATAATGACAGAATATATGCATCCACTATAACAGAGCACCAGAAGTAGTAGAATTTTCCTCTTCAAAATGCACCATCCTCAAATGTCCTAAGATGCATGAGTGTTTTTTATCATAACTATCCCAGAGACTATGGGTGGGCAAACAGCCACAAGCTATGGCTTGGGAAGTTCATGATGGACCTTAGGAAGATCTTCTTTTTCAAGAGGGTGGAGAAGCTCCAGGTCAGATCACCAGAGAGGCAGGAGATCTCCCTGAGGTGAGATCCCATGAGGATCCTCCAAATATACGCAGTCTCTAATTTCTACTTTAGAACTTCTTTTTTAGCCAGGTTTTCATTTTGCTACTTGTCAAGAGCTCTGTTAAGAGTATGCCCGATTGAGAGGACAGCACGTTTGGTATGGAACGGTTGGTCTCTACCTCTTGTGGATAACAAAATATTTTGTCTGAGGTTTGTGTCTGTGAGAAGATTAAGGAACATTATGATTTTTTTCATTATTCCAGCATGTTTTCTAGGTCTGAATCCTATTAAGTCCTAGGAGACCCTTCATAAGACATGGTAGCTATTCAGTGACAAAAGATAATATTCTTTCATCTTCTCACAGCCACAAAATGCAGACAATTTTGCTTATTTTCCAGCACAGGGGAAGATTTTCCCTTCAGAAGGTCCCTTGAATTGCAAATAGCTCATGTCTAAAGACTCTGGTGGAAAATCAGGAGGCTGCAAGGGCTTAAGCAGAGCGTTGCGATCCCTGTGGCTCAATGCTGTGTGTGCCACTCTTGTGCACTTCTGTGCATAACTCCTCGATGGGAGTGAAGAGTCCTGACTTCTCCAGAGCTGCTGTTGCCCAGCAGGATCACAGAAGACTTCAGTGCCCACCCAGTCCATCCCATTTCCCACCAGTGACAAAGCATGCCATTCTAAACATGTTCACTCTTCCTCTGTCTACAGAAACGGGTGGGATCAAAAACTACTGGATCATGTATATATCAACAAACAGATTGAGACACGAGGACTTAGCTCAAGAGGATGATATATTACCGATAGCTGTGTGACAGCAAAAAGATGGAGGGAGGGTGGAAGGGAAACAGTTTGGATTTTTCTACATTTGTAGCCATTAGTTTTTCTACAAAAAACCTTACTAGCACAACGGGTGTTTCGTCATGCTGAAGATTGCTATATAGCAGTTAGCAGGTGGAAGGAGCTGGGCTTGTTTAATATGGTAAAGAGGAATCTGAGGAGACACCTATAAATGACCTGCAGTACTTGAAGGGCAGTTATGAAGAAGACAGAGCCAATCTCTTTGCAGTGGTACCAGATGAGATAATAAGGGGCAATATACAAAAGTGTGGCTTGGGAAGTTCAAGGTGAAGAACAGGAGAAACTTCTCCCCCAAGTGGGTGGTGCAGGTCACCAGACAAATGAGGGGGAATCATTGTCCTTGAAGGTTTCCTGAACTTGACAAGACATCCTGATCTATTGTTAAGGATAGTCCTGTGGTTCCTTCCTTATAGGATTTTAAGAGCATATTGGAGGCAAATATTTTGGACACTCATCATTTTCAGTTACTCTTGCTCTTTCTATTATTATCCTCTCTGTTTTTTTTCCTGTAGGGTGGGAAGATCCCAATACGGTGGACGGCTCCTGAGGCAATTCAGTACCGAAAATTCACATCAGCCAGTGATGTGTGGAGCTACGGAATAGTCATGTGGGAGGTGATGTCATATGGAGAGCGGCCTTACTGGGATATGACCAATCAAGATGTGAGTTGTTAAGAAACAAGCAGCAGAAACACTGAAATGGGGAACTTTGCAAGGCCAAAGTATGGCTACAGCTGGACCCAACCTGTGGCATGTCTGGAACCTTCTCTGTCATAAGAGATGTGTCCAAGGTCAACACCTTTGGAAGAAGTAATGAGGATATCTTTGGCTTTTGGTCTGGTCCCGTTGTGCTGCTGTGGCAGAGGTTAGGGACTGTACAACACCCACTGCATTAGGACAGCGTTAATGTGAGCACCCTCGGCGGTGGTAGACAGATGCCCAGGAGGAAAGGGAGCAGACAGGTGGAAAACAAAATGCTGCCACTGACCTGAGAGCTCCTGGAGCAGCAGGCACATCTTCATCTGCAGGAGACCACAGGGATTTGGCGAAAGTCTGTTACAGAGTCATAGAATGGTTTGGGTTGGAAGGGACCTTTAAAGATCATCTAGTCCAACGCCCCCTGCCATACTCAAGGACATCTGTCACTAGATGGTCATTAAATCTTCCATGGCAAACTTGGACTGTGATGTGTAAGAAGCCAAGCAACTTGTATGCAGCAAGAGGCCAAAACCACAGGGTATTTCAGAACATGCTTAGTTTTAAATACTCCATGACTCTTCTCTACTTCAGGTGGAACTGTTATGTGCTCCCTGGAACCCAGGCAACTTCTGTGAGTCCTTGTCTCCCTGCAAGGATGACCTGTGGCTGAAGTCCACACCTTCACCATAACAATGCCATTCTCCGTTTCTCTTGACCTCATACCTGGGTGGTCAAAGGCCATCTATCCAGTGTCAGTGAGTGCCATCTACACCTGCACATATGTGGCCAGAAAACCCCTTTGGTGTGGGGCTCACAGGTCTCTTGTAATGTTGTCTCTCTGAAGAGCTGTCCTTTTTCATGCTGTCTTCACCTTGTGAACTCTCAGGATCTAGCATCAAGGTCCTGGGTTGACCCTTGGTACGCAGAAAGCTTGTCCTGTCTCTCTGCTGCAAACCTGGGTCTTATAAACTTGTTACAGCATCTGCCTGCCTTCCAACTTGTTTCATCCAAAGTGGGACAATTTCCTCCCTAGTGCCTGGTGGGGAGTTTATTCAAATGAGTCCCCAACACTTGGAGTAGATACATGATATCTTAGCACCTCTGGCTGATCACAGCTTTGCCCCAGCCCCTGACATACCAGAGAAGTCTTTGCATCAATTGTTTGAACCAAAGGGAAGGGAGTCAGGAGTATGCCCTTCTCAGAGAGAAAAATTCCCTTCCCATTAAGGCTTCATTATCATCTGCAGTTTCAAGCATTTCCTGCAGACAGGTGCCACTGCCCTTCTCCCTCCCTCCCCATCTTCCTTGGCATCCTTCTGTATGTGTAGCCCTCTGCAATCACCCTTCCAGTGCTGATTCAGCTGATGGGGATGGCAGAGCTCGTGTCCATCTCCTCAGCACTGCCTGCTGCATGGCACCTGCCACCAGCCTCTTCTTCCCCTTCTTCTGCTGCAGGTCATTGTGCCCCAGAAGCTGTCACCACTTAATTGCAGCTGATGGTCCCTGTGAATGAGCGCATGGCAGATATTGGCTGCAGATTAGCCTCCTGACCCCGGGGTGTGAGCGCCTGGGGAGGCGGGGAGGGGAGAGGAGAGGAGACAGAGAGTGCAGCCTGTGCCCTCTCGTGGGATGTGTCTGATGGCAGCAAGGTGGGCAGCTTATTGGGAAACCATTCGGTCCAGGCTGGAGACAAGCACTTGATGCTTGCAGGATGACCCTCCCAAGCCCTGCTCCTCCTGAGCTTCCCCTCCCTTTGGCTTGGATAAATCTGCCATCCAGATAGCTGGGAGAGGGGACAGCTTTCACCTCTTGGGATAGGAATCAAGAGCTGCACAAAGCACACCAGTGATGTGTCAGGTCAGACCTTCACAGGCCCAGTGGGGCACCATCATGTCCAGCCATGGGGGCAGAGGGGAGGGAGGACTCCTTCAGTCTGGCATATTTTGGCAGCAGTGCTGCCAGTCCCCATCTGTCTCAGGTCAGCCTGCCCAGCACCTTGACCATGCACATCAGTGTCTGGAGCACCCTCCCAGTCCATCTGTGGCCTGAAGCCACAGTCCATCTTAAACCCTGCCGGATGCCCCACCTTACACCTTGGATTGCTTGGCATGGATCTGCCACCTACCCTTGGAGCAGCAGCTTTCTAGTGCCACACCACCTCCAAAGTCTCCTCTCTACCAACCCTTCCCTGCTGCTCTCCCAGTCCCAACTGCAGGATTCTAAATTTTCTCTATGTAGCCTTCCTGCTCAACAATGTATTCACCATGCTGCTGTGTGGGTATGGCTGCTCCTTCTCCAGAAGGGTGATGCATCCCTGGAGTAGCCTACTAGGCAGATTTCTGTCTTTGGAAGTATGCAAGACATGGCTGGACAAAGCCATGGCAGCCTTGATCACATGTGAGAATAGACAGAGACATTGAGGTCCTTCCTCTGGATCCCTGAGGGAGGTTCTGTCAATCCCCCTCCCCTTTTTTATCATCGCTGTGGAGAGTTGGTCATTTCAAAATGCTGTCTCTGATTTCAGTTACTGCAGTATCCTCAGTTCTGATTTTTATTCTCACTTCCAGTTTTTGTTGCCACACACAAGCCTGTTTCTATTGTCCAAGGCTCCTTGTGCTCACTTTTCAGTTTTTTTTCTGTGTGTGTGACCACAGGATGCATAAGGCCAAGAAGGTAGGAGAAGCGTGCTTGTCACATGCCGCTGTTAAAGGAATGTGTGCCTCTGTAAAAGGAGCATATGCCCCTGGAAAAAGCTGTGCAGTTCCATCCTCCTTGATGACCCAGAAGAGGATGGAGGGCTACAGGTGTAGAGTGACAGGCAGATGGGATTCCCCTTGAAGAAGATCCTCTAGACCTTCTGCATGTGCTGTTGCCACTGAACATTTCCACACCAGGTGTTTTCACAGATCATGTGATGCAGTAAAGGAACACCAAACATGCAGCAACCAAAGCTTTCTTACATTGGCCCATAAAACTGCAACCCATCTCTGCATGCTGTAACAAAGTTCTCCTGGGTCTGGCTTTGCTGACTAAGGTCTTGGTCCTCCCCGCTGTGTGCTTCAGTTTGCATTTACACAGGACTGCGGGGAGATCTAGCTCTTACTGCTGGCTCAGCACACCCAGCCCTGTCCCGTGGCGCGACCCTGTTACCTCGAAGGGCTGGGTTGATGGCAGGAGTAGAAAGAACCACTGAAGGAAGCTTCCCTTCTCTGTAACTCACAAGCAGACCCTTCACTAGATCATAGAATCATAGAACATCGTGAGTTGGAAGGGACCCACAAGGATCATCCAGTCCAACTCCTGTCCCTGCACAGGACAATCCCAACATTCACACCATGGCCCTCAGGGCCTTGACCAAATGCTGCTGGAATCTTGTCAGGCTTGGTGCCATGAACACCTCCCTGGGGAGCCTGTTCCAGTGCTCCACCACCCTCTGCCTCAAGAACCTTTTCCTCATGCCCAACCTCACCCTCCCCTGCCACATCTTCCTGCCATTTCCTCTGCTCCTTGCGTTGGTGGCCAGAGGGAAGAGATCAGCACCTGCCCCTCCTCTTCGCCTTGGGAGGAAGTTCTAGACCCCCATGAGATCTCCTCTCAGTCTTCTCCAGGCTCAACAAACAAAGTGACTTCAGCCTCTCCTCATACGGCTTCTCCTCTAAACCCTTCCCAATTTTCTGTCCCTCCTCTGGACACAGATGAGGATGTTCTCCTGCCATTGAGTTGTTGCATTGTGCTGTGTACCCATCAAAAACATGAACCCTTCTCTCTCCTTTCTCATGCCTGGAGCTGTGGGCTCACACATCCTTGTTAAGGTAGCAAGGATGCTTTCTTTTCCCAGATTAGAAGGCTGATAGGCATGGCTTATCACAAGTATTCAGCAGACAACATGTCAGCTGAGCAAGGTTGGCATCACCTTACAGGATGACATGACAAGCAGAGGGTTGGGAGTTAGAGAGTAGCACGTTGCTACAAGAATAGGTAGCTGAGATGACAGGCAGCAGTAAGTGTAGGCAGAGCAGTCCCACTATGGTAGGGGTGGCCATGGCTGTCACCCTCAGGATACAAGGAAAGGAATATTACGAATTAAATAGGTTTTATTGCCACTGTATTGATCTCTTTTTTTTTTTTTTTTCCTTCTCACAGGTGATAAATGCCATTGAGCAGGACTATCGGTTGCCACCGCCTATGGATTGTCCAAATGCCCTGCACCAGCTAATGCTTGACTGTTGGCAGAAGGATCGAAACCACAGACCCAAATTTGGGCAAATTGTCAACACTTTAGATAAAATGATCCGAAATCCTAACAGTCTGAAAGCCATGGCACCTCTCTCCTCTGGGTGTGTATCTCTGTCTTCCTCTTTGGCTTTTATTTGCACATCTGCTGTCCTTTGTGTCCTGGTGGGCACCATCCTTCCATCTCTCTAAGCCAGCTATTTTAGAGGCAACTTGGCCTATGTCATTTGGTCTTTTATAGGAAAGGCATTAGAAGATGTCAAGGTCACTCTGATCCCTGTCCTTGGACAGGTTAGATCTGGTGAACACAGACAGCTCGTTGAGTTGGGTAGTGTATCTGCACAGTTAGAGGAGCATCTTGGATTCATGTATACATGATTGCTGGATGGGTATGGTTGCTTTGGTAGTCCAATCTCACATGCAGTGGAGGCCAGTAAAGCCTCATCAGGCAGTGTGGTGTTTGGCTGGACTGGGTGGGGATACACCAGCTTGTGGGAAGCACTGGTCCCATTATGAGAATGTACCTTCTCCCCTTGTGCAGCCAGGGTTTTAGAGCTGCATCACATCGTCTGTGATGGCTCCTACCTCTCCTGTACCAACTGATCCAGAAAGACTTCTCTGATGCTTACACAATCCTTCCCTCAGTTGAATAGAGTGCTTTCTGGGCAGTACTTCTTAATACAGTGTGGTGCAGGCACATGATGCTGGTCCAGGTCTCCCCAGTTGATGGAGGGTGTAGAAATGCATGTGCTTGCTACTGTTTGTTCTGCTCATTCCCTATTTCTGTGTTTCAGGATGAACCTCCCCCTACTTGACCGCACAATCCCTGATTATACCAGCTTCAACACTGTGGATGAATGGCTGGATGCCATCAAGATGAGCCAGTACAAGGAGAGTTTTGCCAGTGCTGGCTTCACCACCTTTGACGTAGTATCTCAGATGACTGTAGAGTAAGTGCCCAGGCTTCTAGTCCCAAAGCACAAAGAAGAGTCTCAGAAGTTTAACATCAATTAGTCATTATTGAATTAGTTTTTATTTTCATATGATGTAGTTTTACTTTTATAGAATTTGTTACATTGTGGACCCACTTTTAGTCTATTCAGTTTCTGCAGAACTTCTCTGTTCTTCAGGCTCTGTCTTGTCTCCAGACTGTGTGTCTGTCTGTTGCTCTGTACCTGCATGTCCTCACTGTGAAAACAAAAGCCCTCATAAGGGTGTCCAAAACCCCAACATGGAACAAATGGACATTTCAGGCCGGCATCAGGCAGTTCTCCAGCCACTCAAGAGCACTTTTAGCCTCTGCAGTCCTCTTGGATGTATGGCTGGATTGGTGGTGGACACAAACACGCTGCAAACAAATTTCTGCCCAAGAAAGGCCTCTGAAAGTCCAGATGGTTTCAAGTTTTTTTCTGAGTTGTCCTGCATCCACTAAAAACTTCCCTCAGTGGCAAAATCTTAGCAAGTTCTTCAGAGAAAGCAGGCAGCTGAAATCCATTCGTGGTGGTTTTTAAAATCCCTTGGGGTTAGCTGGGACTTTGATGCCTCTGGTGAAAAATTTGTGGTTGTTTGCAGTTAGCTTTAGAAACCCTGCCTAAGAAAGCACCAAGCATTAAAGTCATCTGTAAGTGCTATGATGTCTGTGCATGGTAACCAGGAGGGTTTTTGGGTTTGGTGCCAAATTCCAGACTTTAAATGTACCAACAAATCAGAATCCATTCACGCAAACAGCCAAACTGACCTTTTCTGGTTTTTTGTTCTTATTTGCTGCCAGGAAATTCACGTGGCAATTCTGACTGTTTCAGTGTATCTGTGGTGCAACCCCAAGGCCCTGGGGATGATTTTGGCACACTATAGGCTGTGTTCATACAACAGGAAGAGGATCCATAAAATCTGAAGGACAGGGAAGAAGGACTTCAACCAAGCTGGGACATCATATCCACACCACAACCCAACCCTGCTAGGTTGTGCTACATATACCAGCAAGCAGTTCTGCAGGCAGGCCAGCTAATGAAGTCTGTTTTTTCATGGACCTCACAGAATCACACACAGAATCACAGAATG